GGCAACCCAACCTTCTAGCCCTCCTGTGCTGCATGCACACTTTCATGCCACCACCACACCGAGCGATTCAAGATTGATCATTGTCAGTCTTCATGTCGCCGGTACCCGGTGACCACTGCGCGCTCCTTGATTCAGGAGCGGCCAACAACTTCTTCCGCGCGTCGTGCTTGTCGGTACTCCCGTCGGACATGACTGTCCGCAAAGGTAGAGAGGTGGTCGCTGTCAAGTTGGCCGATGGGAAATCACGCCGCGTCGCGCGGCGCGAGATTACACTTCCGTACACGTTCGACGGTTTTAAGAGAAACGACGACTTCCTCGTCATTGAGATGAATTACGCGGTCATCCACGACGCACGTTGTGCACAGAGCGCTCACAGCGGTAAGCACTCCCAGTGGTATGCTCTGGGAGTGGCTTGTTATGCCACAAGGCTTAAAGAATGCTCCCGCCACGTTCAATCGCATGGTATCCCATGTGCTGCGCCCGCTCCGCGATTTCGCACCGAGTTACTTCGACGACATCTTCGTACACAGTCGCGCTGAGGGAGGCCTCAGCGCGCTTGAAGTCCACTTGAAGCATCTGAGGCAAGTCTTCCAAGTGATGCGCGAAAACAAGCTGTATGCCAACTTGAAGAAGTGTATATTCTGCGCGCCGGAGATTCCGGTGCTTGGCTGCTTTGTGAGCAAGAACGGCGTCCGCGCCGACCCCGAGAAAGTGTCATCGATATGTGCGTGGCCTACGCCACAGAATCCCACTGAATTGCGTCAGTGGCTGGATCTCGCAAATTATCCCCACGAGTACACGAAGAATTACGCCGGATTGATCCAGCCGCTCTCTTCGCTGTTGAAGAACGATGTGTCGTGGTCGTGGACTTCCGCACATCAAGCCGCCTTCGACTCGGTGAAGAAGAGTCTCGCCGAGGCCCCCATCCTCGCGCTCCCGGATGACTCGAAGCCCTTTCACGTCGTCTGCGACGCGAGCGATTTCGCCATCGGCTGTGCGCTGATGCAATTCGATGATGAAAGTCGAGAGCGTGTCGTAAGCTACCAGTGGAGGCAGATGAAGCCGACGGAGCGCAGCTACCCTGTTCACGACAAGGAGCTCCTTGCGATGCGCTACGCTCTGATCAAGTTCAGAGTGTGAGGATACCTTCGCGGTGTGCACCGACCATGCATCGCTGAGGACAGCGATGAAGAGTCCTCATCTCTCCCAGCGGATGGCCCGCTGGCTTTTGTTCTTCTCTGAGTACAACTTCGTTGTCCATTACAAGCCCGGCAAGAACAACATTCTCAGCGACGCTTTGTATCGGCGTCCCGACTACGACCTACGCGGTGCATTGGGTCGACAAGCTTCGCTGGATGAAGACGATGTAGACGAATGTGCCACGTGCGAGGCGTCAGCAGTCAACCTGGCGAGCGTCTCGCCGGTAATGTCACTTCGCGGCGAAATCCGAGCTGTTTACGACCATGCCTCGATGTGCTCCAGTATCCTGGAGCATCCCCGCTCTCCCAGCGCCGACACACTGGGATCCCTTTTCCGCTCTGTACGGAACCAAATCCACCGATATCGCCTCGAGGACGAGCTGCTGACGTACAGCATCGACAACTTCCACGGCCCACGTGTCGTTGTCCCTAACGACCTCGATCTGCACTCACGGGCTATCCATGAGTTTCATGATGCCCCACTGGGCGCTCATCTCGGTCGCAAGAAGACGTTTGCCGCTGTGTCACGCGACTTTTATTGACCCCACCTGTACAAATGTGTGCGTAAGTGGGTGCGCACCTGCGAGACCTTCCAGCGCGTGAAACCTGCCTCGTCTTCGCAGGCTCCCTTGCGTCCTCTACCAGCCATCATGGCCTTCCTGAACCCATCGTCTCCGACCGCGACCCGCGCTTCACGTCGGCCTTCGGGTCAACCGGTACACACACCGGTTGCTAATGATGTATCCCCAGCTCCCGGTCAACGCAATGACACGTTCCGCATCGAGCCTACTTGTGCCGGCTAACTACGCGCCGAAGGATGCGATCAATCGACTCCGCAGTCGTCTCCGACTTTGTACTACAGCGCCAAGCGGTCACCCGCTATGTTCGAGACGCACTGCAAGACGCAGTGAACAAGCAGAAGGAGAACGCTGATAAGACTGGCCGCAAGAACACGGCCACGTTTACGACAAGCGAACGAGTGCTCCTGTCGCCTGAAGGTATCAGAAACTCTGCGGTTACCAACCTCGGTGCGAACAAACTCGCGCCGTGCTTTATTGGACCGTTTACGGTGATCAAGGCCATTGGTGACGCTTACACTCAGGACATTCGCTCGACACTACGGTTACATCCGACGTTCTACGTCGGACGTTTAAAGAAGTACCATCCGTCCGAGGTTCCGGACGCTGATTCGTCCTCGAGTAACGCGGCAACTTTCCAGCGAGATGGTCCTCCTCCTTTGATCGATTCTTCGGGCGCTCAGCGTTGGACCGTTGAGCGAATCGTCGACCATGACCTCGTCATGGTACCCGTGACGGTCACACTGAAGTGTTTCGACAGGGTCGCGACCTGCGGGACAAGGAACAAGACTATCGCGTGCGTTGGCTGGGACTCTCCAAAGGTGAAGATACTTGGGAGCCGCGCAGTCCCTTGCTGGAAGACGTTCCCGACATCGTGAACGAATACGAGAGGACACTCGCGTTCCGAAGCGTGAGTGAGCCGGGTGTTGATACCCGAAGTGAAGAAGGCGACCAGCCTCCGCGGGTACACGGAGGCGCTCGCCGTGATGATTAAAAGAAAACTGGATTCGACGCGGGATCGAACCGGTGGTCAGCTACACAAGAACTCGGCACTGTACTGCTGAGCCACTCGGTGAGTAAGCCGAGTGAACAAGTGAGTAAATAAGTGAGTGAGTGGATGAGTTAGTGAGTGAGTGAGAGTGAGCGAGTGAGTGAGTGCGTGCGTGGGTGGGTGACGCGAGGTTCCACGACAGCGAGTGAACCCCAAGCTCGCAGATTACCTATATTACAGCGTCACAGTCGCCTGGGTCTACAGAATACTTCTTCGTACGCTGTGCAGTCGCACATTGTCGCTCAGTCAACTGAGTGAAGTGGTTGTCGTCCCCGTATTCGCGGTCTCAAGTACCCCGTGCGATGTCTTCGTGATCCTCGTGTCTGCTAGAACATCGTGGACGTCCCACGATGAGCGTTCTCCCAAGTACAAGGAAGTCTCCAGTCGGCGCTCAGTCATTTGCGTCTGTGGTGATCATCGTGCCAGAGTTTCCTTGCAAGAACACTTGCTTGTGCACTTGTCGCGGAGTTTGATCTCCTTGGGAATCGAGCTCATGCGTACTGCGCGTTAGCATGCTCCGTCACCCGCTCGGACACGAAGCCGCAGAGATATCGATGCGCCTCAGGACAATTTCAAAGGTCCAAGCTCCACTCCATCAGAACCTCGCCTGGCTCCTCGAAGCCCACGTGTGTCGACACCAGCGCCAGCGCCGGTGGCCTCCAAGCTGTTGTCTGAGATGCCTTCTCGCTCTGCACGCTCGCTGCCGAGCGTGGTGTCTCTTGTTGATACACCAGGGGCTTGATGTCGCCAGTGTCGCCGCTGCCGTCTCCGCCGTTCCAGCAGTCTTCTCCAATGTTCTTCATGAGCGCTTATGTTGCGTGAGTGCAACTTTAAGAGGGGGTAATGTGATGGGCCCCTCCATTACATAAGTAGGTAGATTTCCTTACAGGTGCATCAGCACACGCTAGTCGTGTGCTGAAATGCTGTCATGTCATTGGCTGATATATGGGAGCCAGACCCATTATTAGCCAATTGGACCATGACGTGTATTTGAGTGGCCAGGGCTGTGGCCTTGGTCCTAAAATAAAGTCAGCGTTATTTTTTTCTTAAACCTAAGACTCCGTCATCCTATTGCGAGCATCCTCAACACTATAGTGTAAGCAAGTAACGGAGTAACTACCTGGCCCTTTACACCAGGATGCAAAGATTCTAGTGGATTTCGTATCCCTGGTGTATGCCCAGTACTTGGCACGTCGACCAAGGTTGGACAGGGCAAAAACCATTCAAAGTGGCTCGTCCGAGATGAGACCCGCCTTCATGGCAATCTCAACCTCACGGACCCAGAAGTGAAGGCTTCCCCTTTTTTACTCAACATGGGACCTTCAGCCTTACCTGCTTAGGCCTGGCTGCCCGAGGAGCAGATATTGAGACCTCCATGCTCCCGCGGACGGAAGCGATGAAACCATGGTTGTAGATCTTAAACGTGACCACGCGTTCGCGTTGCTCGGAAGGCTTCGGCGCTGCCAAGCTGCGAAGGGCATATTGTCCAACAATGCCTCTCATCTTCCGAACAGACTCGAAGTGTGAGTCGATCAAGCGAGGAAGCTCACTTCAGTCCATTGAATCAAAAGTAGAGCACACAGAGGATTTGGGTAGTTCAATCTACCCGCGAAGGCGTAGGATTAACTACAAGTGCTACCAAGTGTGACAGGGTCACACAGCACCTTACACAGAGGACATGCTTAAGGGTATTTACTACCGCTTTGAACGTGAGTTCACCTGTTTCCGGTCTCAAAGGGAGCGGTTAGCTAGATGTCAGACTGATGTATTTATAACTAAGCTTTGCTTAGGCTCTAATACAAACCAAAGGTGACCTGGGGATATGTAGCCATACATTCACTATAGTGACGTGTCACTCTTTATATAACCTGGGGTACACTGGATTGTACCCCGTTACCTCTAGTGCAAAGATGAATTAGGGTTTAACGTTAGAGAGAGACTTAAATACATAAAGGATTAAGCCTAAGCTGCAGTACCGCGCGTAGCGGCGTAAGTAAGTAGTATTTGATAATAGAGTCGTTATTGTGCCAGACAAAAAATGCAAAAAAATAATTGTCGAGAGAATTTTGTGTCCCTCGTACGGTTAAATCTGTATACTCGTATACAGAGCTTTCGCGCCACTCATGTCACACATTTAGAGGGCACTCCATTTGGAGATTAACGGCGGTAGCAATGAATCGGCGCCAGCCTGCGCGCGCGTCGAAGAAGCGACCATCAGAAGAAGCCTACAGCGAAGGCAGTGAGAATGACGGCTCGGACGCAAGCTGGGAGGACGACTCCACCGTATCCAATAGTTACAGTGCGGCGACGTGGAGTGTTGAGGATTCAAGCGTGATGATACGCCTGTCGAGAGAGCAAGTGGAGGTACAAGCGGGGATGGATGCACAGAAGTCTGTGCAGAATTAATTGAAACGCTATTTCAGTCCTGATATGCCTTCCACTCGTATCTGGACGAGTACCAGAAGCCGACTTACCAGGTAAGGGCATTGTTGACACTATATATTACATTTTGAGGGTGTAACGAGGTTAATAGAATCCCCTGCTCGCCGAGGTTTGGTCGGCAGTACTGATAACGAAAGTCCAAAGTCCTACAGGCCGACGTGTACAATCCGTGTACCCGCGCCGGCGTGCACCCGACTGGTGACAGCACCTACTTTATTTCCGTTTAGTCCTAAGCCTACAGCCACTGCCAGTAGAACGTTTCGGCAGACTCTGCTGGCGTCGAACTCCGTCCAAATTGCACTCCGTGTCCGGGAACTACCAGTAGAGCGTTTCAGTAGACACTGTCCGCTTCGCACCGTCCAAACTGCACTCCACGTCCGGGAACTGCCAGTAGATCGTTTCGGCAGGCACCGTCCGCTTCACACCGTTCAATTCGTACTCCACGTCCGGTAACTACCTGTAGAACGTTTCGGTAGACACCGCCTGCTTCGCACTCGGTCGCTCCAAGGTGACGCTCATTAACGTCACAGGTTGTCCGACTTGACAAGTAGACAGCCAAATCTCAAGTGCGCCAGCCTCTTCGCTCCCGTCCGTCCGTCCAATTCCTACCGAATCCTTATCGACTCATCACTCTGGCAGCCAGCGCCAGCCTTCGTGAGAGACTTCAAGGTACTAACCACCTCTTCCTACTGCCTACCATATCCGTCCGTCCGTTTCCTTAATCTTCCGGCAGCTGCCTCCGTTGAACTTGCTACGGAAGCCAGCCGGTCGACCACTATTACACGACTTACTCAACCCTAGGGTCTTCCACGACCCTATCGCCTCGGAGTAGGCGATCATACTCGACAGCAGACACCCCCACGCGTTCGTCATCGTGTACCGTTCGTTTCATCCGTTCACTCCGTACTCCATCGTTCACACTCATTCGACTACCGTTCCGCCCAACATTCACAACCGTCCGTTCAACGTCCGTACCAACTCGTGCTCTCCATTCGCCATCCGTACCAACCCTTGCTCTCCGTTCAACGTTTCAACCGTCTCGTACGTATCGCTCATCGTCCAAACCAACCTCTTCGTCGCAATCATCGTCCATTCCATCACGTTCGACCCGTTTGTCGTACATTCCAACACCATCGATTCGTTCGTCGATCGCTCCAACCCGTCCGTCAACACCCGACGCGATACGTCCGCTACTCGCGTCGTTCTGGCCACCACCGGTCGCACCAATTGCCACCACTCGTCCTCGCACGTCCGTCCATTTCCCGTCCAAAGTCCAAGGG